GGGGGGAAAGAAAAACAGCATTCAGAACACAAAAGCTTGTGTTTTTAAATGCACCAAGTCCAGCCCACTGCTTGGATGCTGAACATTTTAAAGTTGGATTTCTTGGCAAAGAACACCCTCGAAGCCAGCAGATGAACTGTGCCTCATTGGTAGCTCAGCACACATCTGATCTCACATTTAAAGTTTCCAGACAAAAAGGTGAAATCACAGGAAGAAATTGCTGTAATATTGTAGGTTGAGTGCACACCTGTGTGCCCAGGGTCATTAGGGGCTTTTACCTACAATAGCTAACTTCACCACAAGCCTGTGAGGTAGGTGGGATTATCTCCCCAATTCACGGTTGGGGAAACTGAGACTCGGAGGTGCAGGGCCTGCCTGGCTACACACTGCCCCAGTGTGTGCCCTGGTCACTGCCCCCGACCCTCGTCCTGCCCTGCCCCACTCTCCGGGTTTAATGGGACAGTGAGGGAATTTTAGAGGAAGGAGAGCCCAAAGACACACCCAAGCCTGCCTTGGGCCCTACTGCCAGTGCCCGGTCTGCCACGCTGTGGGGTGCTTGAGGAAGAGAGGGGCGGCCTGGGCATGCTGGGGGCTAGCCCAAGGCCTTGGCCCTGCGGGTGGCACCAGCTCTGGCTGTGGTCCAGACTACTTTGCCCAATTTGCTGGCTTTTCTGAAGCCAGATTTGGCAGAGGGGACTCACTGGCTGCAGAGACAGTTCTAGAATGGATCCCAAAGCCAGCCTAGACCCCCGTTCTGCTTCCATCCAAGCCTCAGGGTTGCTAGGAGAGGCCTGAAGAGACGGACTACACTGCCCCCAGTCTCGCCTGCCCCCGGGCTGGGTGGGCCAGCCTCAGTAGTTGGTGCTTTACTCCTTACGACAGCCCCGATGCACACGACTCCTCCCGTTCCCACTTACTAATGGGGAAACAGGCTCAGGGAGGTGATGTGACTTAAGGTCACCCTGTTGGTTAAGTGGCAGAGCTGGTCTTTGAGCATATGTCTAACACCACATCACACGCTCTTTCCACAACTGTGTGCCTCGCAGGAAAACCTGGTGACTCCGAGTAACCCTGGTTCTGCCTTTACCTCCCTGTGTGGCCTTAGGGGGGCCATTTCATTTTGCAAACCTCAGTGTATTCAACTGTAAAATGAGGTGACATATTAATGAACTGTGTGGTTATCTGTGTAACGTCGCTCTTCCTCGCTAGACCATACTCCCCAGAGAACCGGGGCTGTGTCTGCCCTTTTCACCACTGTGTTCTTCGCCGCTGGCACAGCACGTAGCGTTCACATTAGTCGTCTCATTTGCTCTTCTGAAAAACCCTAGGACAAGGGTCCGCACAACTCAGCCCATTTTTCAGGTGAGAAAACCGAAGTTCAGAGAATTGAAACGATTTGTCCAACATAAAGGTTAGTAAGTGGTAGCGCGGAGACCCGTATCTCCATCCTCTCAAGCAGGTATGGTTTTGGACATTCCTACTTCAAGACAGGTTTGCGGGGGGCGGGCAACTTTGTCTTAAGTCATGAGCATTGACTGTAGGAAGGGCCAGGAATAAGTCAGGATCCGAGATGGGCAAAGATGTTAGTTTTATTCGAGAAGCTCTCTATCCGTATAGCCACGGCTGGTTGTGGCCTCCAGCACGTGCTCCCTCCCGCCCCCACGCCTTTCTAACCCTGTCCTTCTCTTTGACCTCTGCCCCCACCCAGGACTGGACTCCGGGCACATCCGAGGTTCAGTCAACATGCCATTCATGGACTTCCTGACGGAAGACGGCTTCGAGAAGAGCCCAGAGATGCTCCGCGCTATGTTTGAGGCCAAGAAGGTGGACCTTGCAAAGCCGCTCATTGCCACGTGCCGGAAGGGTGTCACCGCCTGCCACATCGCCCTGGCTGCGTACCTCTGCGGCAAGCCTGACGTGGCCATCTATGATGGGTCCTGGTCCGAGTGGTTCCGCCGGGGCCCCCCGGAGACACGTGTGTCCCAGCAGAAGGATGGGAAGGCCTGAGCAATGGGCTTCTCCTCCACCTGTCCGTAACTCCCACTAGTTTAGAGGCTGGCGTGACCTGTAGCTGGTTCGTACCTCTTCGGCAAAGGAGATCGACAAGGTTTAGAACTGCTGTGTGAAGCCCTCCTTTCCCCCAACAACACTGGAATAAACATGGCCTTTCCTGAGTCTGTGTCTGCCTACCTCTCCCTGGCTCCCATCCTTGCCCCAGACTTCCATCTCCTTCAGATTCCTTAGAAGCCACCAATTGGGGAAGCCAGCTGGGAAGTCACACTGAAGGCACTGCTTTATTATTTAGTTTTGACAAAGGAAGCCACCTGTTGTCCCACGTCAGGTAGAGCATGCTGGGACCTACCTGGAAGGTGTACCAGTAAGCCAGAGAGAAGTGAAACCATAGCTAGCCAGGTACCAACCCCTCTTGCTGTAGGCCCAGCTCTCTGGGTGTTGGGGGAGAGGCGTGGGGGCAGGTGGCCTTCCAAATGAGTGTTTAAGAGATGTCACAAACACAGGCCCTGAGGCCTCAGAAGAGGTGATGCTCAGAAGCAG